GTCAAGCTGATGTACTTCACACCTTTAAAGTTCAGGGTCAGATTTTAGGTGAGCTCAGAGAAAATTGAAGCCAGATAAATGTCACAATAGTCTTCAACCATACAAACATTATTCTGTTGCACAGTGAAGCTCAAACATCCAGGAACCACAACACAGCTTTGATTGGCAGGGGGCCTTTAAGGGATGATTCCATTTTATTTTAGTCTGAAGTATTATCCATTAACGTGGTTATTGTGGCTGTGTATGCATTGTGCTAGCTTTGCACTCTCCACCTCCGCTGTAGAGATTTGGGGGAATGTGAGGGCTCGCACAAAACAGCATGAAAACAGCAGGGCAGCGAGTGTGAGTTCCCTGCAGCATTCTGTTTTAAATGATTCTTTTTAAACATTTCTTTTCAAGTCTTACCCAAGATAAACACAGAAATAAGCGGTCTGGAACAGCCATTTTGCTAACTGAAGGCTAGTTCAGAGTTTCTGCTCGTTTTCATCACAACGATATGTGCAGCACAGGTTTACAGCCTCAAGTCTGTAACCCTGGGGACGGTCAGCACTGACTGCACATGTGCAAAGAAAAACAAGTGGTGCTTAGAACAATTGCTTGTTGTGAGGAGAGGCTGCACGAGGAGATTCTTGGTCATCCACACTTTATAATTGACCTTTTAAAGCGTTGAAATAATCGACTGCCGGGCTTAGGCGGTGCTTTAATTCGTACATGCTTTCCATCAAAGGTGGAGTAGGTTTAAAATATCTCCAGATATCCTGCGCTGTGTCGTCCCTGTTCTAGACACACCTTAGCAGTTTTCACATTGCCGCAGTGCAACCAGCTGCTACATCCTGCAAAAATTCACAGCCTTTCAGAAAAATTACACGTAAGATCTACGCCACTAATGGGAAATGTGCCAGACTGAAATAAATCAGCATTCTCTTTTAAGTAAAACACATTGTATATCATATATGTAGTTTCAGGGCTGCAAGGTGGCGCAGTTGGTAGCACTCTTTCCTCGCAGCAAGAAGGTTGCTGGTTCGCGTCCCGGTGGGAGATCTCTGGCTTCCTCCCACAGTCCAAAAACATGTTGAGGTTAATTGGTGATTCTAAATTGTCTGTAGGTGTGAATGTGAGTGTGCTTGGTTGTCTGTCTCTAANAAAAAAGCCACAAGTGACGGTTTCCCATCATCCCCGCCGCGCACCGCATCATCCGGACATAATCGGGCTAAAGTTTGGTCGGGTCGTTCCTCGCAGGATGAGGGGGGCTCAAATGTAACTGCTTGACCTTACTGCACCATTTATTTCTGTTTCATTTAGCACAATCTGTCGGAGCAGTTGCTGTTACACGAGGACGGAGGGGGAATCGGGGCTGAATGCGCGATCTTGAGCTTCTCCGCAACATCCTCTCTTGTCATTTCCAAGCCGCGTAGGCCTGCGGTGCTGCTGCTGCTGCGGAGGAGCAACTTTATGGGGACACACACAGGAGAAAAGAAAGGGGGGAGGGAGGGGAAATTGCACAAAAAAAAAGGTTCAAGAGCAAGTAGTTTGCTCGCAAAGGCTGCGAATTGGTGAGTGTCGGTGCGCACGGAGAGGCACGGATAAGCGCAATCCCCCTCCACACAGGAGCGATTATCTAAGATGATTGTGATCATTTAAAAAAAAAAAAAAGGCCACTTAGGAGAAGTGTGAAAAGTGTCAGAATACAAAAACACAAACCAACAAGTCAGATCAGTGCAAAGAGAGCAGCCAAACACAGGCTGAGATCTATAAATGATTGAGAAACGCGCCACACAAATCCGCAGCTACTTACATAGAGGTGATGTTTTTGAATAACTCCGCTATGTCAACGCTGGTCCCATTGCTCCCAGTGTCTTGCAGGGCGAGTAAAGGGAAAAACCTGCCGTTGTCGGACTTATTGCAATAGATCTCTGTTTGAGAGCAGCTGCAGGTCGGCGGGCAGTCCAGCATGGAGCTCAGATAGTCCTGGAAAACACTCATCAGAAACAAAACCCTCCACCAGCAAATCCGGATCGAATGAAACCATAGATCCATGTCTCCGGGCGAAGTGGGGGGGAGAATATAGAAGAGGTCCCGACGTCCTCTGGGTTCGAACAAAAAAACGAAGAGAAGAGGAGAGAGGAGGAGAGTGGGAGGAAGGAAGGAAGGAGGAGGATGGCTGGTGCGTCTGTACAGAGGATGCTCTATGTGAGCGGTTCTGCCGTGGATGGATGCTGTAGTGTCCTTGCGCGTCAGAGATTGGGTGAAAGGGAGGAGGAGGGGGGTAAAAAAAAAAAAAAAGAAAAAAGAAAAAGAAAGAAAGGGAAAAAAGAAAAGAAAGAAAAGACACAAGCAAAAACAAATAAATAAACAAATAACGGCAAATCAAAAATAAGACAGCGAAACGGTGCGAGCTTCCAGTCGTCTTGTCAGCCTCAGATGCATGGTGTTTCCCCGGAATGCCGAAGCCGCCGCTGCTGCTGCTGCTGCTGTCGTCGTCGTCTCTCTGCGAGCAGGACCAGGACGACTGGCTGGAGAGCACAGACACCAGAGGAGAAGTTGGAGCATCAAGTCCCTCCTACCGGCTACAGTCATACTGACACCTGCAGAAGCTGCATGCAAGCAACAGTGATTACAGCCACACGACACATGTTCAATACAGCAGGACGGTCATCACACATACCTGGTCAACAGCCATGGAAATAAAAAACTAAACTCGTTTATTTTTCTACCCATAATCCTTATTTCTCACAGAGAAATGATACAGAAGTTTTATTACAGCAATAATTATCGTTACATTATTGCTGTGTGTTCAATCGATTTTTATTGTTATGTAATATTTTTATGAGACATGGAGGCTTGGAACCAGTTATTTAAAGATCCAGGCAGGATTTGGAAAATGGGAAACATAGGACACTTTTCTTCTCATGGAATGATTGAAAAAGAAAAAGTGTATATCTTCTCAAACCTCTAATGATTTCACGACACATACAATACATATCACAGTAAAAAATAAATCACAGTTAACTCTTGCAAACTGTGTATTCAGGCTTAAACTAAATTGGAGGTATTGAACAATAGAATTAAGGGTTTGGTTTCCATTTTTCAACCTTGGTCATATAACAGGAAGCACATATTTGAGGGGATTGTCCAGTATTACTCTTTCAAATGTCACTCGGTCACTAATATTGAGTACGGCCACCCCTGACA